AAAAAAAAAAAAAAAAAAAAAAATGTAGTTTAGATGGGAAAAAGGACCTGCGGTTTGATGTAGAAGTGATCGAGTCCAATCAAGTGTATCGAGACTCGTTCGAGCAGATAACGTATTTACAGCTCAAAGTGGACATTCGACGTGTCTCGAAGCAACTCTGAATTTACCAGAGAGTACAAGAACACGTCTTCATATATATGATTATTATCTCGGGAAAAAAACGAGATGTCAATCTTATTCCTTTGAAAAGAGAAATCCCAAAAAAATTCTTTTTTCCTCTTTTGCGAAAATAACCCTAAAAAAAGTCAAAAAGAAACAAGAAAAACATATTTACTAACTTAGAAAATTAATTTTTTTAAATTGAAAAACCCACGCACGTGACTTTCTCGATTCTAACAATTATTTTAGGTCTAATTGACATTTATTCTCCTCTCTTTTTTTTCTTACGATCCAATTAATTAATGCGAGAAATCATTAATTTCGCCCACGAAAGAATTTTTTGTAATAAAATTCTTGGGTTTTTTTTCTTTTCTTTTTTTTTTTTTTTGTTGGATGAAACTTTGAATTATGCTCTGAAATGAATTTTTCTTTCAATAGACTTTGAGCAAACTGGTATTATTAGATCAGTACATAGTAAATAAAGCCTTCTATATAATATCCAAGCAGCTGTGGTGGAAATTAATGCTTGTAATGCTTTTGACATTTAAAAATATGGATCATTATCGCTACTTGCGTGTGACGCGGTGAAAGCTCGAGCTTTTACTTTTCAACGAATAATTCACTCGTTTCTCCTAATACGGCTTTTCATTTCTTTTTTTTCTATTCACAGACGCATGAAAAATTTATCTATACGTTTTTATCATTTTGTCTTTTTTGTACTGCGAAAGTAATTTTAGACGAAACTTTTAACTTCCGAAATGATATTGAATTGCATTTGTGATTTATTTTTGTATTTTACACATGTATTTTGTATTTTGTACTTATTGTATTTTTTGTGACGCTACATTTTTTGTATAACTTGAACTTTTTTGTATTATCTGCTGCTTTGATAATTTTTTGTATAACATGTACTTTTTACTATTTTTTGTATAACTTGTACTTTTTGTATTTTTTGCTGCTTATTTTTTTTGTATAACTTGTACTTTTTGTATTTTGCACTTATATTTCCTGATGGTATTTCTTGTATTTTCCGCTTGTATTTTTATATTTTATGCTTATTTTTAAATTTCAGCTTTTTTATATTTTCAGCATATATATTTATATATTTTTGCTATATTTTTATACTTTTTGTCTGTATTTTTATATTTTTCGCTTGTATTTTTGTACACTCACTTTCGTTTTTTTGTATTTTGCATTTGTACTTTATATTTTTTTGTATACTACTTGGGAATGTCAAATTTTTCTGCAAATTATTTGTATTACTTATTTTCCTTCCTTCTATAATTTTTTTTAAATTAAAAAGCATGCAAAAAAAAATGAATAAAATTTATACAGCATAAAACAAAATTGTGTAAAAACCAAAATTTATTAATATTTTTATAAAAATTGTAATAAATTCTACAAAATTTTTTTTGCATCCTTTTTTTCATACACTCTCATTAAAAAAAGTTTTTGTAAATTTGAAGAAATCAGTTTGTTACACTCGTTTCGTTTCGTTCAAAATAAATTTTTCTTTCAAACAAAAGAAGGGTTTTTGTTTCAAAGAAAATCTGTTTGATTTAAACAACAAGTTCAACAAATTTCTTTGATTTAAGCAAATTTTCTTTAAATCCAAGAAATTTGTTTCTTCAAAGAAATTTTATGAAATAAAAAAAAATTGTATGATAATATGAAGAAATAATTAAATTTAGAAATAATTTTTTTTATTTGAAAACGAAAATTTCTTTGAAATTAATAAAATAGAAATGGTAAAATAAATAAATAATGAATAATAAAAATAAAATTAAATAAATTAATAAAAAGGAAATAAATCGTTTTTGAATATAGTAAATTTTTTTAATCGACAAATTTTCTTTGAATCAAAGAAAAATCAATTTTTAATTGAAGAAACAAGTGAAAGAAAATAATTCCTTTAAATCAACGAAAACTTTTTTTTGATGCATGTGAATTTTTACTACTTATTGTTTTTATTCCAAAAAGTTCGGGAAAAAAGTAAAAATTAAAAGAAAGTAAAAATAATTTTTATTACAATTGTTTAATTGTAAAAATCATTTAATTAATTATAAAAATTAGTATAAAAACCAAAAAAAAAAATTGGAAAATATTTTCCAGTGGTCCCGTACTGTTTGGAGTCATTTTTACTAATTGTATACTATTGTGCAACAAAAAAATATTTTTTTTAAATATTATAAAATTGAAAATTTTAAATATTGAAAAGAATGTTTTTTTACCCACATTTTTCGTTTTTTTTTCATCTATTTTTTCTTGTGCTTTTTTACCCATTTTTTTCCCGTGTGCTTTTTTCTAATTTTCCTCCAAAGCTCTTTTAAAAACTGTGGAAAGTTTTTTTTCGGGATTTAGAATCGTTTTATCAAGCGACCACTGCAGTAAAGTTGGCCTAATTAATTTTTTGCCCAAGTGGCGAAGGTTCAACGTCTTTGCACACCTCGGATCTTTGTACCCGCAAGGGTTAATCGATAAACGGTCAAAAGCTGAATTAATCTCGAACCACTGCCGGTAAGATTTGCCGCATGCAAAAACAACCGATAAAATCCAGTGTCCTTTATCATTCTCATCCGACCACTTGATTCGCGAACGGTGCCGATTTATTTACTATATGTATACGTACATTTACATATTATTTCATTTTTGCTATTTTTTATTTTTATCATAATAAAATAATAAATTTTATTTCAATTTCAATTTAATTTGATAAATTTATTTCAATTTATTTCGGCGTGTAATCATTGATATTAATTCAATGCGATAGTAATATTAACTTTATCGAATATGTTAGTATTTAATTTAATTATTAAGTAATTAGTTAATATTTAATTTAATATTAATAAGTTATTTATTAATTAATATTAAATTCAATTACAATTTACTAAAAAATTAATTAATATTGATCTCACTTATTCAGTGATTAATTAATATTTCCCTAAAGTTTTCAATCTTAAAATGAACAAAAGTTTTTTCGATTTAAGTCTTTTCTTAGTTAAGAATCAATTTTTTAATATACAAAATACTTTTTCAAATGAAAAAATGTTAAATTATGTTTTCAAATAAAATTTACAAATTAAAAGAAATAAAAAAATAATATCGTCATTTAAAATTTTAGGAACATTAATTTTTATTTTAATTACTAAATAATTAGTTCATGTTAAATTTACTTATTAAATAAGTAGATAGAAAAAATTGAATTTACTGGTTAAATAATAAATTAATATTGAATATAATTATTGAATAATTAGTTAATAATGAATTTACTTATTAAATAATTAATATTAATGAATATTTATTAATATAATTACTAATTAATATTATTTTATATAATTAATTACTATTGAATTTAATTTTTAAAATAGCAATTAAAAATTAAAAATTAATATAAACAATAAATGTTTTATCATTGAATGAGAAGAAATGTGTTGATAACGCGTGACAAGAGAGAAGAGACGTTATTATATTATACATTAAATGATTACTCATCGTTCGATCCAATCCTCTCAACGAAGCATTGCGAATTTACTGACAAGGAGTTCGCTAATTTCCAAGTTGAACAATTTATTGTCTCAAACTATATATAAGAATGAGAATCCTACTCACATCCTCTATTAAAGAGAATGTTAGAAATCATCTTTTCCCACCAAGTTCCAAGATCCTGCAAAAAGAATCCATTTACGAGTGAGTTACATTTTTCATTTTTTTCGTCCAATTATATTGTCGAAACAATTTTTTTTTTTCATTTTTTTCCATCATCATCAAAATCAATTGAATTCCAATTATTTTTCCGCTTGATTCAAAATATCCTTATAGTGGTTTTTTTTCTTCCAATTATTAATATCTTTAAATTTTTTTTTATTTATTATTTTTCTGTTATTTTTTTATCTGTTTTTCTATTACTCTTTTTTTAATTTTTCTTATATTTTCATTTATTACTTTTATATATATTTTTTTATTTATTACTTTTATATTATTTTTTTAATTTTTTTTAATTATTTTTTTATTTTTATTATATTTATATTATTTTTTTATTTATTATATTTTTTCTTTTTGGATTTAATTAATTTCTGTTTGTTATTTTTTAGTTTTGTTCACAGTGCTTTATTTTTGGTTTTGTTTCATTATTTTGATGGTTTTTTGTTTATTTAACGTTTCTTCATTGTTTCACTTTTTTTGTTTGGAGAAAAATTTATTTTTTTTGTAAACTTATTTTCTATTTGGGATGAATGAATATTTTTCAACAGTGATTTATTTCGAATTTCTGTGGAATTTTTTTAGAGTGAAAATTTCTATTTGGTTAACTTTTATAGAATATAATTAATATTTGACGGACTTGTTTTTATTTAATTATTATTTTTTATTTTTCCTGTAATGGATTTTTATTTGCTAGAAATTCGAAGTAATTGTTCAAGGAGAAATTTTCATACTTCTCTTTTTTATTTATTTATTTCTAGTTTTTATTTTCTTCATTTTTTTAAATTTATATTTATTGTTAGTTCTAATTATTTTATTCAGTTTCCTTTTTTTGTTTTTATTTTTCATTACAATTATTTGAATTTTTTTATTTTTAGTTTTCATTGTATTTATTTTTAAATTTTCATTTTGATACTTTTAGTTTCATTTAGTTTTAGTTTGAATTTTATTTATTTGATTTTTTTTTTTTTTTTTTTGAGTTCTAATTTAATTTATTTTTAGTTTGAATTTTATTTATTTCCTTTCTTCCTCCAATTTTCGTCAATTATATTTGAAAAAATAAAGTTCTTGCATGCGTCAGAGTTTTAAATTAAATGGAGAAATGTTTTTTTTCTGCTCTAACAAGTGATAAATGTTTTCAGATCTATCTCGCTGAAAGTGAAAAAGGACAAGACGTGGCGGATTCGGTGACCCCTTGGCTGTGATACGAAGAAGCAGATAGCTAGATAAGACAAAACAAAGAAGAGAAATAAAGAGAGAGAGAGCGAGCGAGAGAGATGCGTGAATATAAGATAGTGGTACTGGGCAGCGGAGGTGTTGGTAAATCTGCCCTCACTGTCCAATTCGTACAAGGAATTTTCGTCGAAAAATACGATCCAACCATAGAAGACAGTTACCGTAAGCAAGTTGAGGTTGATGGGCAGCAATGCATGCTGGAAATTCTAGACACAGCCGGAACGGTCAGTCTTTACTTCAACTTGATTTATCGTGTCCTTTTTTATTACAAATTTTTTTTCTTTTACTTTCATTGTACACTTTGCAAAAATCTTTTCACTCATCGCTCCTTGTTTGACACGAGAAATACATTTTTTTGTACGTTGATATCTACTTTTTTCTGTTCTCCACTAGATTGACTACTTTCGAGGAATACAGAAGTTGTTAGTATTTTTTCTCTCTAAATTTCCTGATAGTTTGCATTTTTCGTTAATTGGCTAATTATTTTTTTAATTGTTCTTTATATATTCCGGTTCTTAATGAATCGGATAATTAAAATTTGTTAAAGAAATTAATTTGTAAAAGTAATTTGTAAACGTAATTCGTAAAAATTAATTTGTAAAAGTAATTTGTGAAAGTAATTCGCACAAATTGATTTGTAAAACCAATTTGAGAACGTAATTTGTAAAAATTAATTTGTGAAAGTAAATCGTACAAATTGTAAAACTAATTTGAAGAAGTAATTTGTAGAAATTAATTTGTAAAAATATTTTTTAAAAGTAATTTTATTTACTGAAAATCACAAATTAAATTATAATTTTTCCTTTCAAGAGTTTAGGAAAAGAAATTATTTGTTCAAGAGACAAAACTCTGGACAGAAGGAAAAAACTAAATTAAAATTAGATTCTAAATTAATTCAATAATTCAAATTGATAGAAAAAGGATATTTATAGCTTTATAATTATTATCGTAATTAGATTATTAAGATATTAAAACTACTTTAATTAGAACTCAATAATTTCGTTTCTTTCTAATAAATCTTTCACCAAAGAAAATTCTGAAGCTATTTTCAATAATACTTTTCAAACTGTAAATGACAAATTAAATTTTAATTGTTTCTTTCAAATATTTAGAGAATTAAATTAAATTTTTTTTTTCAAAGACAAAACTCTTGAAAGTGAACATTAAATCGAAAATTTCTAAATATGGAAGTTTAGTTATAAATTAATTCAATAATTAAAATTTGTAAAAGAAAATTAATAGTTTCAGCCAAAATTAAATTATAAAATTAAAAATATTCCAAACAGAACTAAAAAATTTTGTCTTTTTTTTGATAAATTTTCCACTGAAGAAAATACTAGAGCAATGTTCAATAATTTCTTCTGTCTGTAAATAGCAAATTTAATTTTTAATTTCCCTTAGAAAAGTTTAGAGAAATTGTAATTTTTTCAATAAAACTCTCGGGAAAATAAAAAAAAAATTAAAGAAATTTTTAGTTATTGAAATTAATTTTAGAAAATCGGAAAAAATTGTAATTAATATAATTTTTTCCCGCCTCGAAAGTATTGTTAAATTTAATAGAAACAGTATAAATAAATATTTAATTTATTCCATAGAGACAGTATAAATAAATATTTAAATTTTATTTCAAAGAGACAGTAGAAATAAATATTCAATTTATTTCATAGAGACAGCATTTAATTCGAGACACAGTAGTAATAGAGACAGTAAAAATAAATAGAAAAATTGAAGAAGAATGAAAAGATTAATGCAATTCTCTCATACTTGGATAAGTATTGTGAAAGACACTTTTTATATTATTTACTCAGCTACTTATTTCTTTTTTTTTATCAAGAGGAAATTGGGACTTTATCATTAATTATGTTTCTTCTTTTTTTGATAGGAACAATTCACAGCCATGAGGGACCTTTATATGAAAAATGGCCAAGGCTTTGTATTGGTGTATTCGATAACGGCACAGTCAACGTTTAACGACCTCCAAGACTTGAGGGAACAAATCCTGCGGGTAAAAGACACAGATGATGTGCCAATGGTGTTGGTAGGAAACAAATGTGATTTGGAAGATGAGAGGGTAGTGGGCAAAGACCAGGGCGTCAACCTTGCTCGGCAATTCAATTGCGCCTTCATGGAGACTTCTGCCAAAGCCAAAATTAATGTTGTTGATGTAAGAATATCGTATGCAATACAATAATTTCTCTTAGTTTTCTTTTTTTCTTAATTTCATTCAGAGCACGATTTTAATTATCTTTGTGTGGGCAATTAATCAGGTTAAGTGGTTTTTTGATTTTTTTTTTTTTGCTTTCTCATTGAGGAAGGATTGTATTTTATTTTTTGGTAATGTTTTTTTTTACTGCCAAGGGAAATTATTCAATTGATGTTTGTAATTATTTATGACAATGACAGGGCTCGAACTAGGTCTGTAAATCCCAAAAAAGTCCGTAAATTTGTTTCAAATCCGTAAAAGTCCTTTTTTTTTAAAAAAGATCCGTAAAGTCTGTAATCTGTTTCAAAAAAGTACGAAAAATTAATAAATTCTACGATATAATTTGGAGAATTTTGAAGAAGGTGCAAATGATTGCAGAAATTCAATTATTTTCAAAAGTAATAAAATTAATCGCAGGAATTCAATTTTGTTCAAGAATTTTTTTAAATTCTCGAAAACATTTCAATTATCTTTAGAAATAATTAAATTCCTCTCCAAAATTCAATTATTTTCAAAAATTTTAATAAAATTCTTGACAAAATTTCAATTGTTTTCAAAAATTTTCCTCAATTCAATGATTTTCTATATCTACTATTTTAATAAAATTTCCCAAAAGAATTCAATTATTTAAAAAAATTAATAAAATTCTACGCAAACCTTTAACTATTTTTATAAAATAATAAAAATTTCACAGGAATTCAATTATTTACAAATTTTTTATAAATTTCTTATCGCAATCATTCAATTATTTTCATAAATACTAAAATTTTTACAGGGATTCAATTATTTTCGTAAATAATAAACTCCTTTAAGGAATTTAATTATTTTCACAAAAAATAAAATTCATTGCAAAATTTCAATTATATTTAATACAATTTTAATCAAATTCCTCGAAAAATGTAATTATTTTTAAAAATTTTATTAAAATTCGTCAAAATAATTCTATTATTTAAAAATTTATTGATAAAATTCTTTATGGGAATTTATTTTTAAGAAACATTCAATAAATTATTTATTTTTATATTTAAATAATTGAATTCTCGTTGAATTTTCTAATAAAAACTGATTTAAGAATAGATTTGAGTTAAAATTTTAGAAAATTTAATTGATTATTAAAAGCATTATAGCGTGAAGTTTTCGAAATAATTGAATTTTGAAAAGGTTTCAAATTAAAACCTTTGAAAATTTGAATTTTTCATATTTTTAACTAACAATTCTGTGGAATTAATTTTTTTGAGAAAGTTTAATAGCGGATTTTTTTTCAAAATTATTTGAAGTTTTTATTTTATACGTAATGTATATTTAATTGAAGAATTCAAGAATAATTGAAATTTTGCAAAATTTAATTGTAAACAAATTTTGAAAATTATCAAAGAACTTTTTCAAAAATTATTAAAAATAATGCATTTATAGAAGAATTTTAGTTAAAAACAAGAAAAAAAATGTAATTTTGGAAAAATTACAAATTATTGCAGAAATTCAATTATTTTCAAGAGTAATAATATTCTTTGCAAAAGTGAAATATTGTTCAAAAATAATAAAGTTTTTCTTAGGAATTCAATTATTTTTACAAATAATAAAACTCATCGTAGAATTTCAATTATTTTTAATACAATTTTAATCAAATTTCTCGAAAAATGGAGTTATTCTTAAAAATTTTATTAAAATTCGTCTAAAGAATTCAATTATTTAAAAATTTGTTCATAAAATTCTTTATGAGAATTGAATTTCAAGAAACATTCATTTATTCAGTACATTATTTAATTTTGACTTTTTGTATTTAAATAATTGAATTCTTGTTGAATTTTCTAATAAAAATTGATTTAAAAATGAATTTCAATTAAAATTTTAGATGATAATTGAATTTGAAGTTTTTATTTTCTAATATATATTTAACTGAAGAATTTACGAATAATTGAAATTTTTTAAAATTGATTATTGTAAACAAATGCATTTGAAAATTGTCAAAGAACTTTTTCGAAAATTATTAAAAATAATCGATTTAAAGAAGAATTTTAGTTAAATATTCTTGAATATAATAATTGAATTGATAATGATTTTATCACTCGGTCATCTTTAGTTATTATAAAACATGAAGAAATCGATCACTTTTCATTTTTAGTCCGTAAAGTCCGTATTTTTAAATACTTTCATTGGTTCGAGCCCTGCAATGTAGAATTTGGACAAAAAATTGGTGTTTCATGGAGAATGTTTATTTTAAAAAATTATTACCTAAATTACCATTAAAATGAATTATTCTAAACTTCTGAACTTTCAAAGAAACGAAACTTATGTATTTCTTCTTCAAATTCAATTTTGATTGCAATAATTTTGCGTCACTAGAAAGAAAATAAATTATAGATAATTTATATTTTTTAAAAAATTTTTTTCATAATCGGTAATTTATGAATATTTTGTTCGAACGTTCAAATTTTGTGGATCATTTAAAATTTTTTATAACACTTTGAAATGTGATGAAAAGGTAAAACAAGAAATTAATTCAACATTTACTTTTGTAAGATTTACAGTTATTTTAAATTTAGATTTACTTATTTTTTTCTAAACCAAATAACCGATAAAAAATGTTAATATTTTCAAATATTGAAATATAAGAGTCAGTCGCAATGATGTTAAATTTTAAAAAAATAACTTTAATGCAGTGAGTGGATTGATCAAAAAGACTAAAAATAGTCGTTAATTGGTGTTAATGCGAAAGATAACAAACATTTTTGCAATGCAATAATTTGCCTATATTGTAAAGCAAATATTTTTACCAAACTGACTAAAAATATTCAATAAAAGACTCTAATTTAAAAGACTTTAAACTTTTTAAATTTTTTTAAAAAATCTTTTCCCATTTTTATTTTGTATTAAATCAAATACTTATAATAATACTTTTAAAAAATTATTTATTTAGCATTTCAAAAATAAAAATTTTAGATATCTTTTTATTTATTTTTTTAATAATTAGTGAAAATTTAAGGATCACTATTTATTTATTTATTTATTTTTGAAATGATAATTTATTTGTTTTTAAAAGCATTTGCCATGGTGAAATTGAAAATGCCACTGCGAAAACATGAAATACCAATTTGTACAAATTAATTAAATTTAAAAGCAGTTAATATTTAGTTACATTTCAATTAATTGAGTTCTATTTCGTTACATGACTTTCATTTAATTGCCTAATTTTTATTTTACTCGTCTCATTTCATTTATTAAATAGGTAGTTAATAAAGTTTTATTGATAAAAATATTCATTATTGGAATTTTTCTTAAAATTATTGTATTTAGTCCGCTTACACAGATTTTTCGATTTTAATAATATTGAAAAAATATATTTCTCTTGGTATTGAAATTCTGTTATTTAATTTATTGGAAATATAACTAATTTTATTTATTTATTTATAGATTTTATTAATTATTGTCCCTATTATTTAATTTTTATTAGAAACAATTTTATATTTTGCTTTCTCATAGAGATTTATTTGTAATTTTTAATTAATGTATTTGTATTTTTATTTATTTTCTTCTAATTTTTATTTAGTTTTATTGTTTATTTATTTTACTTTTTATTTTTATTTAGTTTTATTTTTTATTTATTGTACTTTTTATTTTAATTTTTTGTTTATTTAAAATAAATATTTGTGAATTTAGAAAAAGTATTTAGAGAAGTATTTTAGAAAAATATATTTGTCTTCGTATTAATGTATAATTCTTTTATTTCTAGATCTTCTACGACCTGGTGCGACAAATCAACAAAAAATCGCCGGAGAAAAAAATAAAGCAGAAAAAGAAATCGGTGTGCCTACTGTTGTAAAGTAGTAATGGCCTAGGCCATATTCTCTCGCGAAATAATCCGAAGGAGATACCAGTGGTTGGTGAGGGTAAATGCAAAAAAAAAATGAAAAAAGAATCAAGAGGATAATTAGTGAAAGAAAATAAAATAAAATAAAACCGCAAAGCAGAGTAAAAAAGGGGTCTGATAACGAATTAAAAGATGAATAACAATTGATGAGGGGGGGTTGGGAGGGGCGGGAGGGGAGGGGGTAAAAAAAGCGTATGATGGCTGTAAAGCAAGAATAGACGACTATAAGAGAATAATGAAACGAGAGGGTTGAATATTATTGTATATACGTTAGTCCCGGGGTGGTTTAATCTGGCAGGCGCAAACAACTGCGCACAAAAAAGTTAAAACCGACCCCCGAGACACTCGATTATCACTGTAGGAGTTTTGCATTAAAGAAGAAAAAAAAAAGATGATTAATTAATATTATATATATTTAGGAGAAAAAAAAGAGGAGAAATAAAATGTTTGGATGTGCGCGTGCGTTGGCTCACCAGCCCCCAATGAAAAAAAAATTGTTCGCCGCGCACTTCTCTTATATATAATATAATAATTATACATAGACGATACATACATTGATGATGATGATTATTATTATTAATTAATTAATTAATCATTATTATTATTATTATCGATGCATCAAAATAATTCATAAGTTTTCAACCGTTTGTTTTTCTCAAAATAAAATATGTTTTTTTTCTATATCTCTTCAAAATATTAAAAAGCAAAATAATAAAAATTGAGTAAATGTTATTAAAAGCGGTTGATCTCTATTCCCTTTAACAAAAGAAAAAAAACAATACGATTCGTCGATGTTTAGATCTGAAAAATAGTGGCATGTTCAGGAAAGTACTTTTCATGATGTTTTTTTTAAATACTATATATATTATACATTTTTTGAAATATAATAAATGTTTTTAGGCAAAAGAAAATTGGAGAACAGAAAAGAACGATTCTTTCTACGAATTTTTAATTTGTACTGCGTGACACATCAAGCTGGACACTATATATAAATATATATATAATCTGTAGAAGATTCTTCGTCGATATTCGACGAGAGTTCTTTTTTTTTATTGTGCAAGAGAAAATTGATCTTTTCACTTGTTTAATGCGCGCGAGCACCACACTCTTTCTAATAAAAATGCATCATTACACTGCAAAATTCGTGAATAATTGACTATTTAAGTATTTCTGTTTAAATTACCTGAAAATATTTTTTTTTACTTAATAATTTTAATTCAGTTTTACTTATAGTCATATATCACACACGCTCTTTTTTAATATATTTACTAAGACTTTTTTTTTCTTTTTTCCTCTACAAATTTCAAATTTGAAAATTCACTTTTAATGTGTATTTTTGTAGATTTTTTTTTTGAATTTTTCCATTGAAAATTGTTTTAAAATTCAAAATTTCTATACAGATTTCGAATTTACAATTTTTAAGTTTGTAGATTTTGTTTTTTTAGTAAAAGAAATAATTTCATAGAAAATTGTTTAGAAATATTGTTATTTAATGATTCGTTCATACTCTTGATTCTATTGCAAAAACCACATTTCTTTACTATCTATTTTTCATTTCACACATTTTTTACTAACTATTTGTTTCTAGTTTTCACACACATTAATTACTTTATTTACATTATTTCGTTTTTTTTTCTTTCGCTTCGACGTTTTGTTGACCTTCGCTTTATTGTAAAGCGTATTTTTCTCCGTGTTTCTTTCAAAAAAAGACTAGACTATTCACTTAATGTCGACGTTAGTTGAGTTCACAATTTTTTCTATCTCTTAATCAACGATTTTGAGGGGAAAATATTTTTCCATTCGAATTTTTTTTGTGTAGAAAAAAAAAATGTTTACATTTCTAGATCAATAACTTAGGAAAATAATTTAAAAAAGCAGAAGTCGAAAGCTTCTGTTAATTGAAGAAAATATTTTTTGGCTTAAGAAAAGTATTTTTGCTTTTAATCGTTGATACTTGTTTTGTTAGATGGAAAATTGTTTTTTTCCGGATGAAATGTTGAGAATTGGATTGTAAAATTCTTCTTTGTATTCGTTTCTTTTTCATTGTTTTAGGATTTTGTAAAAAATTACGTTGTTTTGACTTTAGTTACCAAATATTTTGTTTACCAAATATTTTGTTTACTAAATATTTTGTTTACCAAATATTTTGTTTATCAAATATTTTGTTTACCAAATATTTCATCTTCTGTATGATTATTTCTTCCGTCTTCTTTAAATATTCTGATTTGTCTTCATTATTTTCGCTTTTGTTTCAATTTTAATTTCAATTTTAATTTTCGATTTTACGAATCAAAGAACAGAAAAATAACTAAAAATATCTGGAAACAATTCTGAAGATAAAAAAAGTAAACCCATTGACGTAGATTGAAGAGATTTGCCTCGAGGATCCACTTGTCATATTGCAGCAAATATGCGTCGCTTCGTAAACAACTCTTGGATAATAATCATTCCAAAAGGACAATGCCTTATAGTCGATGATTTTCGAATCACTCATTTCGGATTTAATATCCTTAATTATCAACAGTCCGGGATTTCTCTCGGTGTAAGGATCCCACTTGACAGTTGGCAACGATGGATTACCAGTGCGAGCGAAATTCGCCAACATTGCCATCATACTCTCGGCCATTTTCTTATCGGCCGGATTCCATTGGATATTCGTGCTTATCGAGTAGGGAAGACCCCAGATAAATGGAAGCTCGAACATGTGCGGTACTCCGGCCCATTTTGGAACGTCACGTGAGACAACTTCCGTTTTCGGACGATAATCAAAACGATAAACATAGGCCTCCTCTTGTTTTGCTATTTTACCCGCAAGGAATGTTAAACCAGCGGCGTATTTCTTCTCAGTTTGCATGTCGAGGAAACGATCTCGTAAAACCGTTTGATCCTTGGTTGGTGGATGTGGTTTGTAGTAGAATAAAACAGCTTCGGAGACAATTTCCGGTTTCGATTGACAAGTATCATTCTCATCTGGTAATCCAATTTCATTCTCGATATCGTATCTGATCATTTCTTCAAATTTATTTGAATTCAATCGACCGTCGACATTTTCACTGCCAATTGATTCGATGTAACTCAGAGCTTGTTCGTTATTCGTGAAACCGGTGATGATGGGAACTGCGGTGAAACTGCCGGTCTCTATTAATTCCTTTGGATCTTTGGGCAGAAATGGATCGGATGAATTGTTTGTGTCGATGTCAATAATGGGACCCCAGGTTTCGATGTCTTTGAGGAAATCCAATAAATCCTGATCTCTCTGTCGACGAAGACACACCATGAGGTCGGTGGTTGGATAACGATTGCAACCGAATTTCTCGGTTATAAAATCGACCACCGACGCTTCCTGATCGGGTGTACGAACTGAGCCAATTGCATCGCCACTGATGATTATTGCCTTTGTGAATTTACCACGACTCAAGGGACTTAGAATGTGTAGGCCCACGCTTATTGCTCCGGCGCTATGACCAATGATCACGATGTTTGATGATGATCCATCGAATAATTCTATGTTGCTTTTCACCCAATCGAGAGCCGCTATCTGGTCACGCATTCCATAATTTCCGGGTGCCTCGCCATCCATTGTTGTGAAGAAGCCGAAAACGTTCAGGCGATAGGCCACCGTCACGACTATTACCTGTGAATTTTAATATTTCCATGAAATTACGAATTAATTTATGAAATACAAGTTTTGAATGCTCAAATAAAGAAAATATTTTTCTTTAAAAATATGTTTTGTACAAAAAATTAGAAACTAATATTTAGAAAATTTATAATTAATTTTTTTTATGACACAAAACTTTAATTTAAAGAAGAAGAAAATAAATTTCGCTTACTTGAACGTTCAGAACTTTAGGAACATGAATTTTTATAACTAAATAATTATTCTTAAATAATTTTGATTGTTAAATAATAATAATTAAACAAAATTTATTATTAAATGACTAGTAAATGAAACACGCGCGAAAAGCAGTAATTAGTTTATTAGATATTATTATTATTTCACTTTAGAAAATTTTTATTTTCCAATATGCGTTTCCTATTTTGCATAATTTTAGATTCAAAATTTAAAAAGATTTCCTTACTAATTAACTAATTAATTATTAGGTATTATTTATTATTTTCAAAAATGTTAATAAAATTTTTCGAAACAATTCAAATCTTTTCGAAGATTTCAATAAAATTGTTCACAGAAATTCAATTACTTTGATAAATAACAAAATTTTTATTATTAAATTATTTTTTAAAATAATAAAATTTTTTGCAAGATTTCAATTATTTTTAAGAATTTTGATAATATTTGAATTATTTTCAGAAATAATACAATTTTTCGCAAAAATTCAATAATTTTGAGAGGTTTTTATGAATTTTTTTAAAAAAATTTAATAATTGTCAAAAATTTTAATATAATTCTTTAAAAAAATTCAATTATTTTTAAAATTAAAAAAATTCTTTAGAGGAATTAAATTATTTAAAATATTTTAATAAAATTCTTTGTAGAAATTCAATTATTTTTGAAATATTTTAATAAAATTATTTATAATAATTCAATTATTTTTATAAATAATAAAGTTGTTAGCAGGAATTTAATTGTTTTCAAAAAATTAGATAAAATTTTTATAATATTTCAATTATTTTTATAAATAATAACATTTTTTTGCAAGAATTCAATTATTTTTAGAAATCTAAATGAAATTCTTCGAAAGAATTCAATTATTTAATAGTATTTCATGTATGTTCAGATATAATAAAATTTTTCGCAGAAATTCAATAATTTTGAGAGATTTTAATGAATTTTTTAAAAAAAATTTTAGTATAATTTTTTAAAAAAATTCTTCAGAGGAATTAAATTACTTAAATTATTTTATTAAAATTCTTCGAATAAATTCAATTATTTCAAATATTTTGATAAAATTATTTATAATAATTCAATTATTTTTATAAATAATAAAGTTGTTAGCAGGAATTTAATTTTTTTTTAAAAATTAGATAAAATTTTTATAATATTTGAATTATTTTCATAAATAATAAAATTGTTTGCAAGAATTCAATTATTTTTAGAAATTTAATTAAAATTCTTCAAAATAATTCAATTTCTTTTAAAGAATTTTATAATATCATAATATTAATAGTATTTTAAATATTTCCAGATAATTATAATAAAATTCTTCGGAAAAATTCAATTCTTTTCTTAAATAAAAAAATTCTTCAGAGGAATTCAATTACTTAAAATATTTTAATTAAATGCTTTGAAATAATTCAATTATTTTAGAAAGTTGTGATTAAATTCTTTATAATAATTCAATTCTTTTTAAAAATATAAAAAAAAATTCTTTACAATAATTCAATTATTTTCATAAATAAATAAAATTCTTTGCAAAAATTCAATTATTTTTACTGATTTTAGTGAAATATTTTGAAAAATTGAATTATTTTCAGAATTAATTAAATTCTTCGCAGAAATTCAATTATTTCAAATATTTTAATTAAATGCTTTGAAATAATTCAATTATTTTAGAAAGTTTTGATCAAATTCTTTATAATAATTCAATTCTTTTTGAAAACTTTTTAAAAATTCTTTACAATAATTCAATTATTTTCACAAATAATAAAATTCTTCACAGAAATTCAATGATTTAAAATATTTTCATAAATTTCTTTATAATAATTCAATTATTTGTATAAAAAATAAAATTGTTCGCAGGAATTTAATCGTTTTCAAAAGTTATGATAAATTTTTAAGAATATTTTAATTATTTTCATAAATAAATAAAATTCTTTGCAAAAATTCAATTATTTTTACAGATTTTAGTAAAAATTTTTTGAAAAATTGAATTATTTTCAGAAATAATTAAATTTTTCTCAGAAATTTAATTATTTAAAATATTTTTATTGACTTTTTCGAATGAATTCAATTATTTTCAATATAATTTTAATTAAATTTCAGATTTATTATTATGAAAGTTACAGAAATCATAACATTTTTTTAAACGAAAATGTTATCTTTGAAAATGGAGACATTACATAGAATTTTATTATTAAAGAATTATTATTAAGAATAAATTATTATATTAATTATATAATTTAGTTGACACAAATAGTTAATGATGGAATATTAAGAATCAAAATTCGACTTTTCTACTGATTGAAGAAAAAACAAACAAAATAAAAATATAAAAAATCGAAAAACAAGAAAAAAAAATTTTTTTAATTAAAAAATATAGCGTTAAATAAAGCATGTGTATAAATAAAGAATTATGAAAAGATCAGAAAATTAGATTAAAGAAAAGTTGTGTTAAAAAATACATTAGTATTACGAATTTAAATAATCTCTCCATTAAGGGAAGGAGATTTTTTTAGGGGATAATTTTTAAATTGTAAAAAATTGACTATTTAATTTATTTTTATTTGTGTTTTTTTATATCAGTAGTTGAAGATTTGAATTAATTTTTTTTTTATTTTACTGCTTTTCTTCATTTCTGATGCTAATTGAAATTGCTTGGAAAAGATTAACATAAATGAGGCATGTAATACCTCTTATATTCAGTTTATGCAATCTGTTGTAAATGCGTTCACTGACTTCCTTTCTTTTTTTTTTCTTAATAGTCCGTGTGCCCTACTTCAAAGTAACTTTGTTATTCTCTCGTCATTGCAATGTATATAAATATAGAATTAAAAAAGAAGAAAAAAATTGCGAGAATTAAAAAATATAATTATATAAATATAGAATTAAGAAAAAAGAAAAAAATTACAGGGACTAGAGAAATATTTTTTCAACTTAGGAAACTGTAGAAAATCTTTTAGACAAATCAAATAAATTTTTTTTTTTAATTTAGTTAAAAATTAAGGGAAGGAAATGTTTTTCCTTTCTTTTAATTAAAATTTTTTTCAAAGAATTTCACATTAAAAAATTTCTTTACTTTTAATTCCAACATTATTTTTTTCAAGTAAAAATTTTTCATTTCGAAAAAAAAATAAATTTCAAGGCTAAAATACAGAAAGAAAAAGAATAATTCCAAACGAAATTCTACTTCCGTTTACTATACAGGAGAAAAAAATATTTGAATAGAAATAAGTAAATATGCGAGAATAAGAAATGGAAAAACTTTTGAGAGAAATTGAAATAAAAGAAAGATAGTCTAACAGGGTAAAAAACTAAAAATAAAATTCAATCAGCAAAAAAGTCGATAGGTTTGATTAACAAGAAACTATTTCGTGTGTCGTGGAAATATTCGCGAGATGTTGACTACAAGGTCAGACGGTGACCTTGCATATCGTTCGAAATGCATTGACATGCCCTTTGTAATTTTTTTATACTTAATGACATGTAATCGACATTCAACAAGAGTTCATTGTAAACTCCAAAAAAATAAGACCATGAAAGAATTAAGTATTGTGATCTTGACCTTTTGCTTGGTGACGAAGACCGATGCATCCCAAATTGCCGGCGTTCCCGTATTAAAATCTCCACTGTGAAACCACACGATCACTGGCCATCCATCGGGAGGTCGATTTCCTGAATTAATTAAATATTGTTAATTTTATTGAATTGATTAAATTTTATTAGGTTTTTTTTCATTAATTAGATATTATTAATTTTATTAATATCTTAATTTATTAATATCATTGAATATTAATTTCATCAAATTAATTAAGTAATATTAATTTTTTTAATAATTTTGTTGAATTTATTAAATATTAATTTTATGAATTAATAAAAACATTTTTTATTGTATTAATTAAATATTAAGTTCATTAAATTCATGAAATGTCAGCGAGGGTGATGTCTATACAACGTTTATAATCAAAGGAGGGAAAAAAAATATTTATTGCGCAGAAAATAATATTTTCTGTTTAAAATTTTTTATCTTTAAATTTAAAATATTATTTGCGCAGAAAATAATCATTTCTGCTCAAATTTTTTAGTTTCTGAATTTGAAATATTTTTTGTTCAGAAAACAATATTTTTTTTTTATGTAAAATTGATTATTTTCTGAATTTCAAATATTTTTTGCGCAGAAAAAAATATTTTATGCATAAAATTTGTTATTTTTAGAATTTAAAATATTTGTTGTTTAAAATTTTTTATCTTCTAAATTTAAAATATTTTTTGCGTAGAAAATAATATTTTTTGCTCAAAATTTTTTTATTTTCTGATGAATTTGAAAATATTATTTGTTTTAAAATTTATTTTCTGAATTTGAAAAAATTTTTTGTTCTGAGAACAATATTTTTTATTTAAAATTGTTTATTTTCTGAATTTAAAATATTTTTTGTTTAAAATTTTTTATTTTCCAAATTTGGAATTTTTTTTTTTCAGAAAACAATATTTTTTTATGTAAATTGATTATTTTCTCAATTACAAATATTTTTTGCACAGAAAACAATATTTTTTACTAATAATATTTTTTGCTTGAAATTCTTTTATTTTCTGAATTTGAAAATATTTTTTGTATAAAATTTTTTAGTTTCTGAATTTGAAATATTTTTTGTTCAGAAAACAATATTTTTTATGCAAATTGATTATTTTCTAAATTTCAAATATTTTTGGCTCAGAAAACAATATTTTTTACTTAAATTTTGTTATTTTCTTAATTTGAAATATTTTTGCGCCGAAAATAATATTTTTTGCTTAGAATTTTTTTATTTTCTGAATTTGAAAATATTTTTTATATAAAATTTTTTAGTTTCTGAATTTGAAATATTTTTTGTTCAGAAAACAATATTTTTTTATGCAAATTGATTATTTGCTGAATTTTAAATATTTTTGGGTCAGAGAACAATATTTTTTTATGTAAATTGATTATTTTCTGAATTTAAAATTTTTTTTGCGCAGAAAATAATATTTTTGCTTAAATTTTGTTATTTTCTGAAATTGAAATATTTTTGTGCAGAAAATAATATTTTTAACTAAAAATTTTTTTATTTTTTGAATTTGAAAATACTTTTTGTTTAAAATTCAATATTTTCAGAATTTCAAATAGTTTTTGCATAAAATTTTTTATTTTCAGAATTAAAAATATTTTTTACGCAAAAAACAATATTTTTTGTTTAAAATCTTTTATTTCCTGAATTCTTAATTATAAATTAATTAAATATTATCATTAACAATTAATAACAATAATTAATAAAATATTATTGTTTTAATTAATGAAATATTATTAATTTTACTCAATTATTAATTATTTTACCAACTAATAAAAAAATTAAATTATTCATATTTTCTTTGACAATTGAAAAAAATCATTTGAATCATTATAATTTTCAAAAATCATTTGAAAGTTGAAATGAACGAATTTTTTTTCTGATTAAATATTTGTAAAAAAAATACTATCTAAAAACGAAAAATAATTAAAATTAAACACTTAGTTCAAAATTAATTTGTTTAATGTACAAAATAATTTTTTTGTACAAAAGAAAAAAATTAAAATAAAAAATATTGTCGTTCAAAATTTTAAGAATTTTTTTTTATTCAGTTTTTAGAATAAAAATTCGTATTGAATTGGATTAAATTTTAGATTACATTTAATTAAATTAGCCAAACATTCGTTTGCCGCAAATTAAAAGCAATAAATTAAATTGAATAAATTTTTCGTTGAATTGCAGAAAAATTATGATTTACTCGAATGGAAAGAAATTTTTGATTGATTTAATCTTGAGTTAGAGTTGAAATATTTGATTAATTAAACTAAGGTGTTGTTTTTTTTCGCCTCTCGTTTTCTTAATGCAATTTTAAACTGAAATCATAATATAGGAAACGTGACATGAAACGATAAGCCACTAGGCCACTTAAAATCGCCACTTTTGTCCTTATTATTCAACTATGTATAACAAGAAATTAGAAAAGTAACTGGAGAAAACCTTCGCTTGAATAAACTATGACTCAGCCGGAATTCAAAATGAATAATAATTCTTCTTCTTGAAGGATACTTAAATCAAATTGATTGATTAGTTTTCTTGTATATTTATGTTGGTTTTTTGATTTAAAATTCATGAGAATTTTCGCGAGTCGAGGAAAAATGGTATTGAGAAGTTGCCTCCCGGCGAGAGCAGGCATTTCACTTTTTTATATCAAAACAGATACAGTTTGAATCTTTGTTATATAGCAAAGAAAAAAAGGTAAATTTAGAAAAGAATTTTTTATTTCTCATAAGGGAGAAAAAGTGTACTTTTGTGTATTTTTGGAATTTTTGTAAATATTTTAACTTTTCCAGGTGAAATTTTTCTTATTAGAAAAATATAATGGACGAAAAAAATCAGCTAAGAACACAGACAAAAAATTTTACATGGATCAGCTGCAGATTTTATTATATTAGCAAAATTTTTAGTTATTTCAGTTAGGACTTTCGCTATTCTAGACAAACTTATCGCTGTTCCAGGCGAATTTCGTTTTTCGTAAAAAATTCAAGTAAAATTAATAAGAAAAAAAAAACAGTTAAAATTTTCAGAAACTTTTTAATAATTAAAAGTCTTTTTTTGAATAGTTACTATAAATTGAAAAAAATATTTATTCTCGTATTTAAAGTAAATATTCAAAAAAAAGGACTTTTAATTAACAAAAAGTTTCTGTAAATTTTTTTATTTATTATTATACTTATTTTTTATATATTATTATAATAAAAATACATAAAATAATATATTTGTCAGATTTATAATTTGGGAAAGAAAATTCTTTGGACAATGAAATTGTGTTTGTTTTGAAATAAAAATATTTTTCTAGGTGCAAATTAAAATTGCATTCTTAGTTCGATATCTAGGACTTGAAAGTTGAATTTTCGTAGATTGAATTATAAAAACTTTTGAAAGTTTACTTCAGTCTTAATTTTTGTCTGCGGAACGAAACTTTTTACAATTATTATGTTCGCCTCGGTAAATCTTTTCCTCTAGATTATTTAATCACCGAAAAAATTGAATAATCACGTAAAAATGCACTTTTTTTTGGTAAAAGTTATGATATTAAAAATATCTGAATTTAAATAAATAAATAAATTATATCAAATTCTGCACTTTGAAATTTTCAAAATTTAGAACTTTAAAATTATTGTGTCAAACTAATAGAGTTTTTAAAATCAAAAATTTTTTTTTTTAATTTTCTGATTAGTTTTCATTATTATTCCAAAGAGTTTTAACAATAATTTTATGACATTTTTCTAGAAATATTTTTCTTTAAAGAAAAAATGAGAAAAAGATGCTGTATTTGAATTTTGCAAAAATTTACAATTCCGTGAGTTCTGATTTAAATTTTATGAATTTTAAATAGGATTCTGATTATTATTCTTCTGTGAAGTGTTTTACAAATAATTATTTTTTTATTTAGATGTTTATTCATCAATTATTTTGTTCTAAAAAAATGGAAGTTTGCTCTAACTATAAATTAAAAAATTCTTTTTTTAAAAATTTTAAAGAATCTTTGGATTTTTATTGTAGTGTAACAAGTCACTTTTTTGGTAATAAAAAAATAATAGAATAATAAAATTACTATTCATTCTTATTAAAACGCATAGAATTTGAAAATTTCGGGACAGCGATATTTTTTATTTAATAATTGCAATAACTCATAGAAATGTAGATCATCAAACCTCATAGAATTCTAAAATTTTATTTTTCCAGAAGTTAAATATAAAAGTATTTACATGTATACATTTTACTATAATTTAACTTTTTTTATTATTTTTTTGTTTTTTATTATTAGATATTATTAATTAATTAACTATTTTTTATCAAATATTTATGTAACAATTAATTTATTCTACAAAAAATTGTATTTTGCTGTAAAATTGAAAAATTTCCTGTTTATTTTGTGTTTATTAAAATTTTAAATTTTATGAGTTTTTAAATAAAATCTGATTATTATAAAAAGTTTTACAATTATTTTTTTTTTTATTATTCAAATATTTGTTTAACGATTGACTATTATTTTATTCTTTAAAAAATGATATTTTGCACTAAACTGAAAATTCAAAAATTATGCTCCACATTTTGAAATTAATAAAATTAAAAATTCTGTAATTACAAAGACATTTATAAATTATTTAGTTATTCAACTTTTTTTTTATGACCAAAAAATGACTTTTTATTTTAAAATAAACATCCAAATTCACTTCGAAATTTTTGAAAAAATAAAATTTTTTTAATTGAGAGTTTTATGAGCTTTGATTACCTCAATTGCTATGAGTTCTTATATATGAGTTTGACAATTATTAGAAAGAGTTTATAAATAATTCTAAAGACCAAAAAAAATTCTGCTCTAAAAAGAAAATTTTTGCTGCCCGGAAAATTTCAAATTTTATGAGTGCTGTTTAAAGTTCTATGAGTTCTAATAAGAATAAATAATTATTTTATTTTTTTATTTTTTACTAAAAAAAATGTTATTTCACTCTAAAATGGAAATCCAAATAAACTTTGAAATTTTTGAAAAAATAAATGTTTAGAAAATTTAGATTTTTATGAGGTTTGAATATCTAAATTGCTATGAGTTCTTGTATGAGTTCTGAAATTATTAGAAAGAATTTACAA